ACTTCCAGCAGTGCCTACACTGCATAAAATTGTTCTTGGAGACTGCATTCTACTCATTTTACAGTTTAAAGTAGATAAGGATTTTGGACCCAATACAGACTACATCAGAGGGAGCGACAATAATAACCACTGAGATGATGGCTTTGTGTAAAAGAGGATTAGGTTGGAGGTAGCATGCTCCAAAGATGATGACATCCTTGGCATTCTTAAAGGAGGTAGTAAGGGTGAGAAAGAGGTCTGCTTGGTCTTGAGGGAGAAAGGCAACTGGGAAGCAGTAGATAACTAGCTGCACCTCATTGGGTGCAAGACGAAAAGGCCGGTATAGATTATCACTAACTGACAAGGACTGGTTAATTTTGTTGGCGAGTACTGTATAGTAGAGGGAGTAGCTGGTGGCAGAGATAAGGTGGTCTGAGGTGAGGTGAGTAAGAACACCATGTATGTTAACAGTAGCAGAGAAGGAGACTGGAAAGGAACAATTCGCTTTGTAAAGGATAGAGGGCACAATATCAGAGTTGGTAGCTGCCAGGTATGTGGCCTCAGGATAAGGGGCTGGGGTGGCATGGGAGATGAAGAAATGGTATTTGGCAGTTGGAAGAGGAGCAGCTTCCCAGTTTCAGGTAGGGGCACTACCCAATACTGTAACTTGTACTGCTGTGGTCTTCTTCTTCTTGCCCTTAGCTAGAGTTTGTTATAGGGCCTCCGGGGTCCTGAAAACAGCAGGTCCCTGCCCCCTTCCCCACCCTGCCCCGGATTTTGGCCTGGGGAGGAGCCTATTTTCTCCTCCATTCCCTCGCCTACCCAATACAACTCCCCACTCTGGCTACCCCCTGTACGGGGCCCTGCTACTACTCCCACCAAATTATATGACTAGAAGCACAATTGGGATCACCACCTCACCCCCATGCACGGTGTAGGGTCAGGAGAGGGGAGTTTGATGGTACCCCATGGCCTTAACAGGGTGGGGAGATATTGCAGAAAGCCACATTGCCCTGCCCAGGAATAAACACTACCCTTAGCACTGACCTGCTGGACTGTCCCCTTATAGGAAGCCACAGCACTGGTGTAAGAGGAGGAGGAGGGAGCTAGTATGAAGAAAGAGTCTGAGGGGATGGGGCCTGGGCAAAATATGGACTCGTCCAGGAAATCCCTCTGGGCAAGTTGTAAAGTGGCGAAGGAGGGGGGGGTGTCTTGTGGCAAAGGTGTACAGGTTTCTGTACCACACACTGTTAACCTGAATGAGAGAGTCAATGTCTTCAACTGGGATACCCAGCATATAGCTGGACAGGAGACAATACTTCACCCCTGAGGGAGTAGCAGAATAGGGGGGCAGCGGTAGGCAGCTGGCCTGTTTGGGAGTAGGAGGGTGGTGGGTCCAGAGGGGTGGCAGAAGGACATGCAGCTGAAGCTGTGACCTTTAGAGAGAAGTCTCAGACAGACGCTTCCAGCCCTGGCAGGGAGGATAAGTCCTAGGAGGCAGCAGTTGATGAGTACTCAAGGATTTCAAGTCTTTAGATTATGCTACTGATCCCCGCAAGGGCTGTGCAGAGTAGGGGAAGGAGGATCGTTTTGCCAACAGACAGCACCAGAAGCTCAGAGTTGAATGGTGGAGGAATTGGTGGTACCGTCCATCCTATATAATAAAGGATGTGCCATAACTACTCTCTGACCACGAAGAGGTGAGAGGGAAGAGAAGGGGTAGATGCTCTTGACTCATAGGATGCAGAGTAGTGAGAGGCTCAAGAGCCAGACCTCAAAGGCGCTGAAGTAGCACCCTCTATCCTGGAGGGAGGTTGTGCAGGGTAGTGAAGAGGCTGTGCACTTAGAGACTGAAGTCTAAGTGAGGAGAAAAAATAGGTGTATGAAGTTGGTTGCCATACAAAAACCCAAAGTTTTGCCTGGCCTAAAGTGATAATGTTTTCAAGCAAGAGGAAAGTAGAGGGTGCAGGGTATGTGAGAATATGGAGCATATAATGGAAGCCTATAGGCAAGGTATTATTTATAGTTTTGATGGTTTTAAATGATATATTTTTACTAGATATTCTTTTCATAGAAGAATTACAGAATCTGAGCTTCTTTTTGAATAATATCAATTTTCAATATAATTTATATCAATAGTCAATACAATTCTAATTTTCTAGATATTTTGTTTAAACAAGAGTAAAACTTTATATAGCTCAACAATATATAAAATTATGAGTTATGGTTCATACTTCAAAAACATTGTCATACTTTTTTATGTATTGTCACCAGGTAGGATAACAAATTCTCAAGCTGTTATAGCCAGTGTTACTTCCAAAATTGTTACAGATTTCATCAAAAACTTAATACAGGAACTAGTCTTCCAGAACCATACCTTGCTTCTTTATCCTCCATCTCTATTACAACTCTAGTCATTAAAAAATATTTTTTATTTGGGAATGACTCAATACCAGAGAAACATTACCACCTTTTTGGTCCTACACCCTCTCTGCTAGGGGGATGTAGGCCACTGCTCTTCAATTCTTTATTCCATGGGGGCTCCATCTCTACCTTGCCCCCTACCTGGCATCTAGCTCTTGCTGGTTGGAGTCCTCTTCTCACCTCTGGGAGTCTCATTATCAGACTTCCCTCCTCTCTACCACACTTTTGTTAGGCCTTACTTAGTATCAGCATGGTAAGCTTTGGTGGATAGAGGATAGTCTTTTGGTTAGTTGGTCTGGTGGTCCAATAGGCTATCAGGAGTTCACTTCAGGCCTATTCACATTGTATAGTGATGGTATTCTATCCACTAAGTGATCTTTTTTCTCCTAGAACAAGAGACTACATGAGAGAAGTCTAAGTAGTAATCCATCTGCTTTGTGTTTGAGGTTTGTGCCTACTTCTGTGATCCTGATTGTAGCCTTCCACCTTATCATTTGACCTGAATTGATATGCCTTATCTTCTACCTCTTCTCTCCTCTTGGATCAGCTGGTACCCTATGGCCCAGGTCCTTGGAGCCCTCCTTACCACCATGGTGGCAACTCTTCTATCTGCCCCTCTCAACTGGCTTGTCCAGTGTTTCACTATTTCCTGCTGGCATTGGCTGCCATCTTTTCGATACTGTCTTCAATGTTACGACTAACATCACTCAATCCTGTCCCTAACTAGCATTCTTTCTACTAGGTGATATCCCTTCTGTCCAGCAGCATTGGCCACCTCCTTCTCCTAGCTCTGCTCTTCTTCAGAGAGCTCATATATTCTACAACTAGCACCATACTGCCTAGCAGCTCAGCTCCCTCCTTCTCCTCTGGCTCAGACTTCCTTCATTACAGCTTAGACCCTCCGGGAGTTATCTAAATCTCAGCTAGCATCTCACTACCTCCTATGTTGTTGTTCCAGGGGGTAAGGGTTATTTACCTGCCTGCTACAAAGTCAGACCTGGCTCTCTCCTCTTGGCTTTCAGTACCCTTTTCTCTAGGCCAGTGGGACTAGAATCTACCATTCCATACAACAGGAGGTACCTTGTTTTAGTATAATTCGGTGTACCTAGACTGCGCAGATTTGTTATTGGCGGATTGAGTTAGAGTGGCACTTACTAATCCTACTTTTCTGGGGTCTTAGGTTCTTGGAGATTTTAACTTAGTTATAATATCGAGTAAGGGGATTTCTCTGACTGAAGGATGTTACAGCGTCTGCTATCTGTAGAGGTTTACAGGGTTCATTGTATTTAGTCATGTCATTTAAAGGTAATTTTTTATACCCCAGAGTGTTTTTTCTTCCTTCTACTAGTCAGGTAGACTAAGTGAAGGTTTTTGCAGCTATAGTATAAGCTGTATATCTTCTTTGTACCTACTTAATCAAATGAAATAATAAAATAAAAACAAATAAAATACCTTGCTTCTTAACCTGATATCAAAATATAGCTATTCTTTTAGGAAAACCAATCAACTTAAAGCAAATTTACAGAACTCAGCCAGAGCTTGGAAGACTTTTTTTTTGATTTGTTTGATACTGTATACTCATATTATAGTTTTTAGTAGAAGGATATATAGAATGTTGATGAGTATGAAATCATATTAGAAGTGGATGTCAATTCTTATATTATTGATAAGGCTGAAAAAAAGCATACCTACATGTAATTGTTAAAAACTTATAAATAGGTTTCTATCATTGAACCTATTATTGCTACAGGTAAATACATTGGACTAGTTATAATTATTTTCAAGAGTTACAATATTCAAACTTCTTGGTCTAAAGAAGAGAACCTACTAATCTGGTTAATTACTACCTCAAGTAAATGGTTGACTATGAACAGAATTGCAAAATAATAGCTCTACAAGATGTTTTTTCCTAGAAACAATTTCTAGTAGTATAGTCAATCACTATAGTATGCCCCATCAACAGATGTTGATTCTTGATGAACATAGAAATCATACCCAGTTAGACTTTCTTTAAAAATTTTAACATGCTAATGTAGAACTTTCATTCTTCCTATTATATTCTAGTTATATCCTTCAGTCTTTCAAGTTGGATCTTAGTATGTTTGTACTACTTCATCTTAGTCTGATAATACTGCACCAGTGAAAAAGCAGTATTTTATAACCTTTTGTCAACAAGAATAAAAAGCAGTCTTTATCTCTCATTACTTATATGTGGGCTGAGAAGCAGTAAAACTGCTTTCTTGAAATCCTGAGAAGGCACTAACCAAACCCATTACCAATCTACTCTAATTTACCAACCTCTGACCTGAACTCTGAAGCAGAGTCCCCTTAAACTCCCAAGTAACTACACACTATCTGTAGTACGAAACTCAAATCTCAGAATCTCTTTTCTACTATGACTCTAACCTACTCTCATAACCTTCACCATACTATCAAATCCCTAGAAGTAACTAGAGATATAACTGAAGACATCCGGACTCTCTTGAGCAAGACAAGTAAAGCTTTCAGCTATCTTACCACCTAGGATGCCCTTATTCAAGCTTCAAATCAACAGTTATAGCCACAATTGAAGGAGTTGGAAGATAAATGAAAGAAAATTAAGTCATTCAATGTAATTTTACATGCTCGTTGTTGTTGTAGAAGGATGAAGTTCATGAATTTGACTTTGTTGTATTTGAATGGCGGGAATCCGGGGGTGGCCGGGAACTGGAATGGCTAGCTTATACGTTTTGGATTGCATCAACCATACCTTGTTCTCCACCTATTGACATCAGAGGAATCGCAGCTTCTCAATTACAGCCAAGACCCACAGTAAACCCATTGCTGCCACAACTAATCGCCCTCGCACGGTGAATGAGGACCGAATCGTGCTCAAAATCACTTGCCGGTATCGCGGTATTCACCCTAAGGCTAAATCGTTCCTTCTCTGCAAATACATAAAAACAGTCCCACAACGCTCTACCATCAGATACAGCAAGTAATTCTCCGATTTACGATTTGCATGAAATGGACTGAAGCCAAATCCACCACAGCCAAGAGCCTACCACTCCTCCACACGCCTCTCGTGAACAGATGTACCGTATGATACTATATACATAAGACCGCGCCTCGAATCCCGAATCTCCAACGGGGAAAATGGAGGTTAGCAAAGCGTATGGTAATAATGCTGAAATGAAAAGGAAAAAGAAAAACATCGGGCAAGAGACATACAATGAATGGCTCCTTAGGTCGGGAGCACGAGAAAGTGTGAGAAAAAGAGGAAAAAGTGAGAGAAATCCATGTATCTGGCCCCTGGAATGAGGAAAAAACAAGGAAAAAATGGCAGAGCAAAAAGATAGCGCTTTACAAAAATAGACGCCGTAAGGAGCATAGCGTGTATATTTCGCTATCGCATACGGACATGATGCCTTCACATTACATTTCCACGAACCCAAAACAGGACATATGCGTTTCGGGTCTAGTCAGTGTTAATAATGATCCCTATAAGCTAGGAGTCGTGAATTAGGCTTACCACTACTCTTTCCTCTTCTATTAAGGTTGCTTTACTATCATCGAATGAATTCCAACCGCTCTTGTACGAGCTTCGAACCACAGCAGTATAGTGCCCTCCATTTATCGTGCCATAGTGATTACAGACAGCATACAAATCGTAGAAGAAAGGTGGAGTCGTCTCGGCTGTTGGTGGGGGGAGCGTCCGTGGCAACTCGTCACTGGCCAAGGGTGGGGGCATATATCTCGTCAGGTCCAAATGGTGGAGAGGAATGTCAACAAAAGTGTTAAGTTTGTCTCTCCACGGGCCTCTGTTCGTGAAGCGCTTGAGGTGGATGATCAGGATGTGTGGGAGTCGAGTAATAGTTAGCTTCTTTGTCGCTTTCTGAGCCCTTTTGCACTGTGGGCAATGCCAAGCGTCATCACCTTCTAGCGTTTCTTCACTGACAAACTCTTCTAAGCAGTCGTGGAGCGTGAAGTTATTGCTCTTCATAGCAGGTATCGGCAGAGAAAGGTACATGAAAGGAGAATAGGTTGTCGACGTTCTGCCGCATGTCAAACATGAAAGCTTACTACTCAATTGCCCCTGAAACCAATTCACAACGACCGAATAATTGTGATGAGTATATCGCTCCCATTCAATAACAGATGCTAGTTGAACTGATAGCCTCTCCCGACGGCGCTCCTCGTCGTCATTGAGAGGTCTAAATTTCCCACGATTTGCGTAGGGATTGAGATCCTCGTGCAATCCGTCCAAAAGAAATTCAAGAAATTCCTGGGCATCCTGCTGATCGTTGTTGCGAAACATCTCATTCAAGCGGCCAGCTACATCCTGCGAAACAATGAGCCTTAACATCTCGTTAATGCCGGGATTTGAACATACCTTTATGGTAACAGGTGAAATGAAACTATATTCACCACTCCATAGATGTCTGACAATCGCTGCAAATGCCTCGGCTAAAACCCCACGAGACCCTAAGGGATTATCCTTACTGACATGGCTCTTATAACTACCGTCCAAGAAATACCTCGATAGCGGAATAGTCCCACTCATGCATTGCAAAACAGCATTCATATAACACGTATTACCCAAATTCTTAAGCCCTGTAGTGCCAATGTTTACTGTGCCCATGCCTGCGAATGGTGGGAGTAGCGACTTGTTTGTCGCCACTGGAATTTTAGGAGGTCTTTCAGGAGCCGGCAGTGGAGGCGGAGGTAGGGCCGGGGCAAGGCGCTCAGACACACCACTATAGCTTCTCCGAGGGACGGCAGGTGGGGGACGGGCTGGGGAAGGCGGGGGATTGAATTCAGGATTACGAACGTCGGTAAATCCGTGAAAGGGATGATCGATGATAGTTGGCCTCCTGGTTAAAGATGTCGGGAAGCGATCGTGCTGAGGGGTGGACAAACCTGGGGAAACCATGGATTGCTGAGTATGGGGAGTTGCAGGGTAACGTTGGAACTAGTTTAATTCAGCAACACGTACTGGGGTGGAAGGGATAAGGCCAGAGCTTACGAATTCTTCCACTGTTCGCACGTGTGGTACATCACTAGACGCCATGATGGATGTGCCTCTTCTCCGCTTCTTTGTATCTATTTCATCCGCAGATGAAATAGCGCTCATCGTCACAGGTTCCCGCTCCTTCTGTAATCTCTCCATCCACCTTTTCTCCTCTTCGATGTCTATTGCGTAGATGTGTGCAGATTCCTCGCTCTTCTTATATGTTTGCCTATTCAGAGGAGGCAATAACGATCTTTTTTGCAAATCACGATCCTGTCGTCTCTGAGCTAGAGACGGGACTGAGCTTCTGTGGGATGGGTTCCCCCCGTCGGTGCTCAGTCGGCTGCGTGGTCGCTCCAGTGACCCAGATTCTCTGCCAGGCGGGGCTGGGTGTCTCGCATCTGAATGAATTATTGTGGGTGCTTCGGGATCGATAACTTTCAATGCTTGCTTTCCAACCAAATTTATCCATGCTTCAAGCCCCCCGGTTAGCAAAAGCGGGGGATTTTTAAGTCGTTTTCCAAAGGTATAGTCATCCATTGCTAAGTGTAGGCTCCGTAATGTGATAAGATGCTGATCGTTCGTTGATCCACTGAGGAAGCTATTGCTTGAGGTGGACTGGTCATAGTAAACCACGAAATCATAATCATGCCTTTTGCTGAACAAGTCCTGTTCCTTGACGGGCTCGAGGACGAACGTAGCGTCTAGGTCATCTCCAGACATCCTATCATTGAAATATTTCAGCAAATCTGCGAACGTGCACGAAGGGAAGACCCTACCCCTCACGTAATATTATAGGCTCGACGCAAACTATAGACCGCGTGTATATATGCCCATCCATAAATTCACTTCGGGGACGGACGTCAAGCAGTAGTACAGATACTTCTGGATCCTGGAGGTAGCTACAGAGTGTATTGACTGAGATCGTAGTTTCCTTGGGAGCCGCAGGCCGTGGCCCAGCGCTCCCCGACTCAGTTGGGATCCGGGTAGGTAGGGGGGGACGAGAAGAACTTCGATGTGGTGGTATCCCGGTGGGAGACGTGAAACTGGTTGCTGGTGAATATATTGGAGCCGGGAGTTTGGGCATCGCATTGGCATCCAGTGGCGGCAGGGTCGCGGGAGTTTCCCTTGGACCGTGGAGGTTTGCAGATGCCGACTGTCTATTACGCTGGGGGCCAGAGAGCCCAGTTGGCCGGCCAGATGGCATGGAGAGCTTCTTAAATCGGGCCTCCAGATCCAAGTCATCCGGACCAGCTTCCCCAGTTCTTGAGCTAGAACCTCCGGCCTCGCTGTCGCTGCACGAAGCCGTACCTTGTGGTACTACAATACCATCAGCATAACCAAGGGAAACCTGTTTAATTGAAGCTTTGCTGATTACCTTGGGATGGGTTGGAGGACAAAATGCCAGGCTTGGGTTTAACTACGGGCTTCTTCGACCCGGCAGGTGCATTTCCGCCACTGCCGGACGAAGACTCTGCTGCACGCAACTGCGCCTCTGCTTCCAGTTGAGCTTGGGCACTGGCAACTCCGGAGAGTTTGTTATTTTTCTTGATCTCCTCTTTAACTTTGTCAAACTCGGGAATCTTTTGCACCAACTCCTGGGTAATGGAAAGTAATTTAGCGTTGTCAGAAGGGGGGACGCCCGCTTGGAATTAAATCACCTTTCTCAATGTTTCGAAATCTTGGTAAAGGAGACCGGCCGTGGATTTGAAAGTAGGAAAATCCTGGCACCTCGGGATAACGTCGGCCACAATTTCGAATGCAAGAAGATAGTCAACATATGCTGCATCTTGACGTTTAAAATTCAGATGAGCCCTAGCACAGTGCCAAGATCGAACGGCAACCTCGAGCCATGCCCTAATCTGCGGCGCGATCAGCCAAACCTGAGCAAAACAAAAAAAATCCCACAAGGGTATAATAATGTGTACCGAACGATCGCCTGGTCGAAGACCAGCAGTGCGAGCTACAAGGTCATGAACATGGGGATAGACAAGCCTCGCGGGAGGACTGGGGGCTGGGCGAGAGGGAGGGGAGGGATGGGAGCTCATGACAACACGATTGGTGAAAGGGGCTTATCTCATCCCCGGCTATGTGAGAGGTGGAGGGGGTGCGGTAGGAAGCTGGTAAACCCGAGCGAAAATAGAGCTACTGATTTAGGGAGAAAAGTGTGCGGAGGTGGGGTGCGTATCCGGAGGAGATCCAAGCAGCGAGGAATGCTGGATGTGAGTTCTCTCTCGAATGGAGGGGGATATCAGAAAAGAAGGTGGTCGGGTAGAGGAGACGGCTCTGTGATAATTGTGGATTTTGAAGGATATTCAATGACAGTCTTTATCTCCGGTAAAGCAGGCAGAGAGGGTTTGTCCGTTATTGCATTGGTTGTGAGTTGCGAGGGTGCTGATGCGATAGGGTCCTACCGGTCTGGGGTGTCTCGGACTTGCAGGGAACCCAGCGGACGCAAATCAAGGGTTCCCGCTCTCACAGCAAAATTCCAGATGGTGATCTGCAAAGTCTTGGCGGCGAGCTTTCGAGCGTCGTCACCGGAAAGCACTCGAGGTTGAGGCTAGTTGACCAAAAGGAACAATAGGACAACAAATAAATTTAGGGGTGGGAGTGTTCTGAGAGCAAGCGAAGGGAGAGGAGGGTGGGGAGGAGGATCCGCTCCAGTGCCGTACGGTGCGGTGCTCGAGTACCGGTGCAAGTGCAGTAGGGAACTGAATAGTACGGTACCCGCGTACTAGCACAGGAGGTACCGGTACTGCACTACCGGTAGTATAGTGTGGTATAGTATGATACGAGTACGAGTAAATTTACAGTACCGTACTCGAGTACCACAATGTGTGAGTAAAATGGAGAACACGACTACACCCGTGACTCTTCCTAGCTACTGCACCGCCTCGTGATGGCAAATGCGCAATCCTTGGACGCAGGCTTTGCACTTCTCGCCAAGTGGTCCAATGGTAACAAACTCTTGCACCAACTGCTTACATAATGGCGGGGTGAGAGGCGCCACCCATACTAAAGTGACCTGCGTCAGCTTCCCTCCATCCCAAATCTCCCTCCCATTCCATCTGTTGCAACTGTTAATCCTCCTCGTCTGTCTCCCTGCCACAACCCACCCTTCATTACTTTACCTACTGCGGTTGATATTTTCTGTGTAGACCAGCTTCTTGAGTCGAAACCTTCCCCTAGGGCTGAATCCGCCCCCTTATCACCTTCATTCGGCACTCTTTGTGCTCATCCCCTTTCCAACGGCAACCATCACTTCCATCTTTACAAACCCCCCTCAAGCTACGGCACCTATGGCGTGGTTTACAGCATCAAACTCTTCTCTTGACGATCAGGTTGAGAAAGCTACATCTTCGAGCTTGTCCGTATTCTTGTCTTCTTAAAAGCTCCACCACCAACCCTTGGGTTATTCCACCTGCTTACCATTTTGTAGAGAGGATATGGCGCTCAACTTGGAAATCTCCGACGTCATTCGGAGTAAGACTGTTCAGCCAAAAGAAGCTATGCGCTCTTTGCGTAAGCGAATAGGACACCGTAATCCTAATGTTCAGTTAGCGGCTCTAAGTGTGAGACGAAGTTTCCAGTCGGAGTTGGGGGGAATATGGCTCGAAATTGGGAGTGTGACTAACATTTATCACTATAAAGCTTACAGATACCTGCGTCAAAAATGGAGGGCCCCACTTTTTAGCCGAAATTGCCTCACGAGAATTTGTGGACAATTTGGTTTCTCTACTGAAAGCTCCTTATGCGTTGGACCCAAAGGTTGAGAGCAAGATATTAGAGCTCATACAAACCTGGACATCTGCGTTTGAAGGGAAGAGCCATCTTTCATATGTCGGGGAGACATACCGAATGCTTAAAAATGAGGGCTTCAACTTCCCACCGCCCACAAAGGTTTCCTCAACGTTTGTTGACTCTTCGGCGGTAAGTAGAGACAAGTGCCGATGGTTACCTGAGCCGCCAACTAACATTAAGGGAAGCCTCCTGACTGGACTGATTCAGATGTTTGTATGCGATGCCGAACGCCTTTTACTTTCACCAACAGAAAGCATCACTGCCGCAATTGCGGAAATGTTTTCTGCGGCGCTTGCTCCTCGAAGTCTATTCCGCTCCCTCACATAGGAATAATACAAGCTGTTCGTGTGTGCGATGGATGTCACACTAAGTTGACTGAGAGGCGGGTCTTGGGTCCCTCTGCGAAACAACAGTCTCGACCACCCCAAGGACAGAAGCAAAAACCAAATAATCTCATGCAGCCGAGGAATGCAAGGGTTGAGGACGACGATGATGAGGACCTCAAAATGGCGTTGAAAATGTCACTAGAAGAAGTTAAAGGAAAGGGAAGCGTGGGTTATGTTTCTCAACAGCAGCTACAAGCTCAGAAGCAAGTTGCTCCACCCCATATCTCGGCCTCTACTGTTCAACATCCTGCTGCTCGGCCATCGGGCGGGAAAACTATACCTGACGAGGATGAGGATGAGGAGTTGAAGGCGGCAATCGCAGCAAGTTTGAAGGATATGGAGGAGCAAAAAGCAAAGTCTGTGTGGTCAAGCCCGAATCCCGCGGTCAAGTACACTGCTTCGGTTTCGCGGGCAGGCGTCACACATAGGCCTGATCACGAACTGAGCCCTGCTGAGGCAGAAAATATCAATCTTTTTGCTACGCTCGTTGACCGATTGCAGTCCCAACCGACTGGGACAATCCTAAGGGAACCCCAGATCCAGGAACTTTATGACAGCATCGGGGCTTTAAGGCCAAAATTGGCTCGGACCTTTGGTGAGACCATGAGCAAATATGGTATTGTCTATTAACCCTTATCACGCTTTGTTGAAACTTACGGTTTTTACTTTCAGAGGCTCTTTGTGATCTACACGCAAAGCTTGGCACAGTCGTGCGCTATTATGACCGAATGCTGGAGGAGAGGTTGAGCTATACTTACGGCCGCCATGGGATTGCGGGAGTTTCCTCTCCTGGTCCTTACCAACAGCCTCCCTCTTCCAATAGTGCGTATCCTGCTTTACCCCCTACTGAGGGCTATTATGGAGTTGGTGTGGGTAACGCACCAGGAACCCCACAAAATTCCTATGCAAACCAGCAGACGAATTATCAGAATTATTACACACAGCCTCATGCTTTTGATAAGCAGGGGTCTTCGCTTCACTCTCAGTCACCAGAATCTCATAAGGCTCCTCCGCAAACAGCCTATCAGCAGTATAACGGGTACAACGGCCCCCCACCATCGGAACCTACCGCCGCTGGCCCTTCACTGCATGGCACCGAGCCTCCGGTAAATGCTCCACCCCCGCAACAGCAGCCACAGCCACAATTGCAACTACAACCCCAGCAACCACTGGCAGGACCATCAGTCCAACCTCAGAAGCCCCATTCGCAACAGCATCACCCTCCTCCGCCGCAGAATCCGGATGCATCATACTGGCAGTATCCGAAGAATGGACAACAGCCTGAATATAATTACTCCTATTCACCATCTCCACAGTCTCCTCAATGGCAGCATGGACCTAGTACAGGCCCTGGGGGGACTCCATATGGGCATGGTAGTTTTGGATACTCAAATATCAGTGAAGCTTCAACCCCAGCACCCACGCTCGGCCAACCGCAGCAGCAGCCCAAGGTGGTGGAGGAGAGCTTAATTGATTTGTAGGATATTTGGAATCGTTCGCTTTTTTCGCTTTTTTTTTCGGTGGTGGCTCTTTTAATTTCTTTGTTCTTTTTGGGGCCATATTTGAAGAGGGAGGGGTGGGAGTTCCGTACCTGACAGCTTGGGCTTTTTGTAATTTATGGAAGTGTTCTAACTTGAATAGTGATTTTGGCAATCGATTTCCCGGTTTTGTACTCAAGTGAATCCGTGGGGGTTGATTAGGGGCAATTGCCTAGTGGCCGTTTCAGCGGCAAGCCCGAACCACGCCGACTCTTTTCTTCTGCTAATACTATAGGAACATAAGATTTGAAGGAGTTTTGAGGCCTGGAGGAATCTTGAAGAATCTTCTAGATAGACGTATTAGTGGGCGTGGGCTCAGCGGGAGCGAAACAATGAGCGTGATTTATAAGCCGGGTAACTTTAAAGTTTTTTACAGCCAACCACACCCTAGAAACTAGCGACCCACACACAGCGGCCCACAGCGGACATCCGCAGGTAGAACACGAAAAACACCCCCCAACAAGTTTAGAACTCCAATTGACAACTACCGGAGCTATGGCAGCCGGTAACTAATTTCCCTTCCTTATTTATTTCATCTCAATGGCTAACCAATCACTCTACTGACGCAGAACAAAGAAGACTGCTCGAGCAGGTAAGTTTTTTTTTGTTTTTTTGGCTCCCCCGTCCATTCATCGCATGCTAGCTTACCAACGAACACCAGTTAATGGGCACGCCCAATCAAACCAACTCCTCTGTCCCATTCACTGATCCCTCTGTCTGCCGCAGCTTCCTGGTGGGCACGTGTCCGCACGACCTCTTCACAAACACGAAGCAAGATCTGGGCCCGTGCAAGAAGACGCACCTGGAATCCCACAAGGCGGAATACGAGCGCGAGCGCGCCAACAAGGCGTCCAAGGATCTCGGCTACGAATACGACTACCAGCGCGACCTGCAGCGCTACATCGACGAGTGCAATCGTCGGATCGACGCCGCGCAGCGACGATTGGACAAGACGCCGGATGAGATCACGAAGACAAATTCGCTCTTGAAGGGGATTGCGGACTTAGATGGTAGCATTAGCTCCGGATTACAGGAGGTGGAGGTGCTCGGTGAGACGGGCGCAATCGGTCGCGCACTTGACGAGTGGCATAAAGTTAAGGTTGCAAAGATGGAGAAGGAGGGGAAGGAGAAGGAGTTGAAGTTGCTCAGTGATAGTGCTGGACCCTCTGGCCACCAGAAGTTGCAGGTTTGCGATGTGTGTGGGGCCTACTTGTCTAGGTTGGATAACGATAGGAGGTTGGCGGATCACTTTTACGGCAAGGTAAGAGGGTTTTCTCCTTTGAGTTATTCTCTCGCCGTTTCCGTTTCCTTTCATTTCGCTTTGTTTTTTCTCCTTCACTGCTGATTTGCGGTGTGTGTGACAATAGATGCACCTTGGGTACGCACAGATGAGGGCTACGTTGAAGAAGTTGCAGGAAGAACTCGTTGGAAGGGGACCCCCGCAGGGACAGCACGGTAGGGACTTCCGCGACAACGATAGGGGTTTCCACGAGGGCGGCTACTCGCGAGAACAATCTGGTGGCGGTGGTTACCGGGGTGGCTTTAGAGGCGGTCGTGGAGGCGGTAGCTACCGTGGTGGCAGAAGCGGAGGTGATGGCGGAGGCGGATGGGGTGGTCGCGGTGGTGGTGGTGGTGGATACGGTGGTAGAGGCAGTGGTGGGGGATGGAGGTCATAGATAGTAAAAGTAGATGCATACACCTTGCTCACTGGACGTTCCCCCCCCCAGAATTGTAATATCCGAATTTCCTTTCCCCGCTCTCTACGATACGGCGCATTAAGGATGGGGTATCTATCTGTTTTACAACTTCTATTTGATCTGCAAATTTTTTTCGTCTCATAATCAAAAAGCAACGATTTTTTTTTTTAGTAATACAGCTTTAAGTAGAGGGAGCCTTTGATATCGACGCGAGCAAGTTGAGCATCCCGAAGGTGATGGATGAATGAGGTATGGCAAGTGAGGAAAGGAGGGGGGGAGGAGGGAGGATTAAGTAGCAGTAGCTGTAGCATTGGTGACGACCGGTGATCCGGCTTCAACCTGTTCTGCCCAAGAGGAATTCCCGGTGGTGGGAGATAGAAGTGCAGGTTTTCCTCTTGCTTTGGCGGTATCAACAGTGGGATTTTTTTTCTGGTCCTCATTTGCCTCACTCTTGACTTCCTTCTCCTGTCTAACTTCCTCTTGTGTCTCGAGCTCGTCCCTCTTCGCCTCACCCTTCGGTCCCTCAGCTCTGCCCTTCCCACCGGGTAATTCCGGCCACTCCTGCGCCGATGCAGCTCCGGCCGTAGCCCTAGGCGGAGAGCCCGCACCTGCACGGGGACCCGATGGCGCACCTCTAGGCGGAGAAGCCACCACAACCCCACCATGTGCGCCACGCCTAAACCCCGAGGATCGATTCCTGGGATTATAATCTTCCTCCGTCTTTGTAGAATCCCACTCCCTAGTTTGTACAGCCTTCAACTTTCTCTGGCGATTCTTCTCCCTCTCGTCACTGCGCGACGTTAGTTCCCCATCTATCTTTAAGTGGAATCATTAGTAGTAGTAGTAGGGGTAGTGGTAGTAGGAACGTACTCCAATTCTTTGCGATTCCTGTCTGCCTCTGCACGTTTCTTGCGATCAGCGAGGCGCTTGTGCACGTCCGCCTGCTTGCGGGCTTCCTCGGCGACTTGGAAGGAACTTTCGTCTTCTTCGGCTTTTCGGCGGCGCTCGATGAGGCGTTGGTTGTTGAGTTTTACGCGTTCCAAACGGGCGGCGAGCTCGTCTTCGGTGAGTTTTGGCTGGAGGAGGGAGGGGTAAGCGCGTTATTTAGTAGGTTGGCAGGGAGGGAGAGTAGAAGCAGGATTGGGTGTCGCTGGGTGATAAATGCCTTCTTGATACCGCCTGAAAGTGTCCTGTCTACATCCTTTTTTTTTTTCACCATTCGGGTTAGTAGCTGTCATGGGCGGAGTAACGCGTGTAAGGTATCATGGGATGGGGGATATATACCTTCTGCGCAGCTTCTGCCCCAGCGGCAGCAGGAGCACCTTCCGCCCGCACACCCTTTTCACGATCGCCACGAGCCTGGTACTACCAAACAGAGCAAACAAACATTAGTTGGTGGTTACATAATGGCCATTCCTTAACAGTACATACAAAGCCCCGACCGCGTCCTCCTCTACCACCACGACTCGAGAAAGCTCTGGGCTCAGTTGGCGCAGTTGGAGGAGGTAGAACTGGCGCCGAGATTTCGCTCTCGAAGAGATCGCTGTCTTCCCGTGTTTGGGCGAAATCATTCATAATGTTCAACTGCGGTAGGCTCGCTTGAAACTGCAAACTGAGTCTTGCGTGTTCGGTGTTCAGAGGTTGCAGGTGTTGTTTTTGGAATGGTAGTGGAGGTTACGGAGAAGCGAGAGGGTGCACATTTCAAGGATTCCGAGAACCTGCCCCGCCCCCCCCCCCCGCACCATCCGTTCAGGTGCTTGACATCAGTTACCCTACGATCCTAGGATCTGCGCATAACTTGATGATTAACCCTGGCCTGTAGCGGACTAGCAATCACGACTTAAAACCATTCTGGAGACATGTCATTTTTGCACCCACAACTTGGCACTGATAATATACTCGAGTACTCGAGTAATACCGGTAGCGCGGAATTTGCATGAGCTACGTGTTGAGATTTAAACCAACAAAGTGATTAGGTAAGCGGTAAAGTTAGAAAGGAAAAATTAAAATCAGAACGCCTTCCCCCCTCCACCCAAAAACTGTTACCTATGGGTTGTCATTGCGCACGACAAAATGGACTCTAGAGGCCTCGGGAAAGAGAGAGGGGGGGGTACGTAGAGCAGAACTCGCTATCACCGTCTCCTCCCCTTTCCGCTCCTAGCGAGACTCAGATCCAATAGACACTATCAGGCTCATTCCCAATCCTCCTCCTCACTGCTTCCGTCGTCTCCGTCTTCATCCTCGCTGTTTTCTTCTTCATCCTCTCCGTCCTCTTCGTCGTCGTCATCTTCCTCACTATCCTCATCCTCGCTGGCCTTGGTGGCTCCACCGGCTTCTGTAGCCTTCTGTAGAAAATGAAGTCAGCGCGCGCCTGTAGCTGATACTAGAATAACGGCTTGATACCTTTGTTGCTGGGGGACTGCCGGCGGCTTGACTTGGGGCGTTGGAAGCGTTTGCGGAGACAACATCATAACTTGACTCGCTATCGGGCTGGGAGGTACGGTCAATTGAACTCTTGGGCTTGAGATGCTCTTCCTTAGGAATCAGAGTTTCTGTCGACGCCGCTGTTGCAGCCACTGCGGCTGCAGACTTGGAATTTTTTGCAGGGGACTTTTCCACGTCGGAGTCATCATCCTCGTCCCAACCGACTTCCTCTTCGTCAAGTGCGGCTCCTTTAAAACTGTTAGCAATAATGCACCTATCCGGAGCAACGTTTCAAAATACCCTTCAAAAGCTCCTTTCGCTTCTGTTCTTCCAAGTCTAGTTCATTTCTTAGGAAGTAGTACCTAGCCCAAAAATCCGAATACTGGACCGTATCGGGGACGAGCTTCTCCATAGTATTTCGAAGCTCCGGATATCTCTCCAAATCCGCCACGATCTGGTTGGTTTTTTTCTCCGCATCAAAATCTTTAACCCAAAATTTAAAACTGTCAGTGTCTGACCCTGTCCTAAAGAGCTCATGATTGCTGTGCAGCAGATGAAGTTGAGCATCAAGTCTCGTGGTGCTAGGTTTCCCCCCATTAGCCCTATATCGTACCCCATGATGGACCTGGGAGCCATTACTAAATTTGTCTCTTCCCTTCATCCATGCCTTTAGCTTCAAATACGACCTCACCAGATCCATCCGCCCCAACCTTCCCTTCCGGGGGAGCGATCGTAACTGCATCACGTAAAAAACTTCCAATATTCGACCCGAACTTGAGCAAATATTCGTCAGCCCTCGCCTCCGCAGCTTCGAGATCCGAAATCCTTTGAGCAGCACCCTTCTTCAATTTGGAGAGTAGCCCTTCTGCCTGCGGCTTACCCCCCCCCTTCTCCTTATCTTCTTCAGCAGCCTCAGCCCCTGACTTGGAAGTCTCCCCTTCCTGCATTTGCTCGGCCAGGGGTAGCGGATCAAGCGTGAATTGAGGGAGCGCCTGGGTGATCGAAAGCGAACGGGTCCGACTCGCAAGATTGGTGCGTAAATCGCTGAATCCTTTGGTAGCTTGCTCAGAAACCGTAGCATATTCCTTCTTTGAAGATTCGTAGTATGATTCGCCCTACCCCCATCACCGGTTAGCTTCCGGATCCCTACCTGCATCATGAGATTTTCATTGAGCAAGACCCCCACCTGCTTCCTCACAGTCCCCAAGAAAGAGCCCAATCTCGACCCCCAAGGGGACGCGGAAACAGCTTTATATGCCTCCCTAAATTCGTCGTTGAGCGTCTCACTCGGTTTCTCCGTATCCTTGCCCTTGCCTTGATCCTCCGGTGCGAGGATTTCCTCTTGAATATGGTCGTATGCTATTTCCATGATCTATTAGGGTTCCCGGGAGTCTGTCGTTCGGTGTTTCTGGGGAATATTTGGTTTCGGTGGTTGGTGCGCAGGTAGGTTTCGTCGTTGCGGGGTGTTGCGAAGGGTCAGGAACGCATTCTCGGAAGCTACCGGTTCTGGTACGGGTACGAGTAACGGTATAACACTTGCATCATGGCACACGAAGGGGTTAAATTTATGCACGGTGCTGTGTATTACCGAAAGGATACCGGTACTCGAGTACCCTACCGTACTCGTACGGAATGTTATGAGAGGTCCCCGAAACAACAAGTCTTGGCAGCCTTCTATTCCCTGCGTATCGGAACACGTCTTTGACTGTCCGGCCGATATCTGAATGAAAGGTATCATACTCATGGCATCCATCGCTCTTGCAGTACCCGTATGGCGCCGGGATCACGAATTGGCCATCATCCGGCGTGGGTATCCCAATACTCACCTTGTCCATTGCCACTTTAGCACTGGGCTGACACCGAGGTAAACACAAAATCCCAATTGTGTGGGGCGGCGGGGGTTAGTGTGCGCGGTACTGTACTGTGAATCGTCGACAAAGTGCTATCCCAATAAGTTCATATGTTTCGTAAGTAGTGGGCATAAGCCATAGCTTTTCTCTAGTAGTCACTTTCATTCGGGTTAAATTTCCCCACATCTATCCCTCGCAAAAAACCGACATCACGAAAGAAATTACATGTAATTTTGAAAAAAACAGCGCGATATACTATTTCCACACATTTGCGAAAACATCATCATCTCCTCCGAAACCTCCCGGCCTTCCATAGGCACCGGTACTTGTGCCAGTGCCAGTATTACCTCCGGCTCTAGTTGTGCCAGAATTAAACGCACCCCACTCGTCCTCCTCATCCGTGGCGACCCCAAAACCACCAGCGCTAGCAGTAGTTGGGGTAATAGTGCTCAACGTGGCCGGAGGCGATGTTACAGGCGAGCTCCATATGTTATTCGATAAAACTGCGGCCGAGGCGGATGCACAGGTAGGCTCATTGGTAGTAACAGTCGAGGTCGGCGCTGGTGACGCCCAAGCATTGCTATCAAATGAAAAGACGGGAGCGGCCGGCTTGGAAGTGGCAGGAGAAAGTGAACTGGTCGTCCTCATTGCAGGTTGGGGGACACGAGCGGAAGGGGCAGACGAGAAATCAAAAAGATCCTCGAGGCCGGAACTAACAGAGGGAATGGGTGCAGGCTTTTTATCCGTGGCCATGCTAGAACTAGGGGGTCCGAAAAAACCTCCACTTGGTACCGGCGATAACTGGGGGCCCGCTGAAGATTTCATCATTCCAGCTGTGAGACTAGCAAATGGGGAAGGCTTCGGTGGCGGTGGAGCAGTTGCTTGGGTTGATATGGAGGTTGTACTGGGCTGCGAACCAAACCCAAATCCACCAAAAGCGCCATCCAGATCCCCCAAGCCGGAGGAAGGGCTCTGGGGCTGCTGAGATGAGGTCATCGAGAGGCTGCTAACATGTTGAGAGCGGGGTTGGGGCTTGGAAGCATAGAGGGACAGAATTGACCTGTTGAGATCAGGCCGCGAGGAAGAAGTATTAGAGACCGGATTAGAGTTTACCGAAGCAGGTCGTGGGGCTGGGGTAGGAGTGGCCGCAAAGAAGTCTAGTCCGAGGAGCGAATCAGCAGGTTTGGTCGGTTTCGGTGGTGCAGGAGAGGCCTTTGGCGGTGGCTGACTCCTGGATGCCGGCGGGACCGAACTAGGCCGGGAGGGTTCTTGGGGCAAGGCATCATCGTGGTCAAAGAGATTGACATTCTGCTGCCTTGCCGGCCGTTGAGGCGGTGAGATAGGTGTTTGTCGATTCTCGAGTTTTTGTTGAACCACCTTCAGGGGCTGAGAAGGGGATGAGGTTAGAATGTTCAGATGGGCGGGATAGCCGGGGTTTCCTACCAAGTTGTCCTCTTCTCCAGAATCTTCGAGAGTTGCCGGGTCGGGAATTCCTCCTTCCATAACCCATCGCTTGGACTCGTACTTTGTGCGAACGAAATTCTCAATTTTCCTAAGGAGATCAGCTGGACGATCCCAAGAGAAAGGTGGTATCTGCATACGCTTCCGAAGGGACGTGCCCTGGCGCAAGATTGGCTTCCCAGTATCTATCGCAGATGTAAGCAAGACCGATCGATGGTGGGAGGGGAGAGAAACTAACTTATTAGCTCTTGAATTTCCCCACCTCAACATACTTTGGAGCTGTTCATCTGTCCAGCTATCGAGATCTACGGATTTGACTGCGAAAGTGGTAGGATGAGCAAACGATCCCCGGTGATAATACGGAAGGGCTTCACCTACCTCTGCTAATGTGTGTTCCCATGCCACGATGGATACCAGAACACCTGAGGAAGTTAGGACCTGAGCCGTTTAGAAGAGCTCCTCATCACGCACCTGATACAAATAAAAACGCCCAAGTTCCAGCTTGCCCACCTTGGAAGTTTATTTCGCTTGCAATCAGCGCAAAGCTTGTTCCCGGGAAGCTTCAGAAGCGACTTGATAACTTGCTGGTTTTGTGATGCCTTGTCGGCGGTTGGGTTGGGACGGCGGGACATGATGGTCGACGAATTTTACTGTGGTGGAGGATTAATAAGGGACCGATGAGAAGAGTCGTCGGTTGGTGGTTTTGGGTCGATTGTTGCCCTGTCGGAAAAGCAGAAGGGTTGATAGACGCGGGGAGATCGGTGGGAGTGTCCTCATTCATTACACGTGGGTAGGATAGGTTCTGGGTGAATCCTTTCCGGAGGGTTAGTCAGCGACCCCCCATGGGTTTTTCCCTCGGTCCCTCAGGCCAACATGGCAGAGATCCCCGAGGCACATGGAAGAACAAGTTCAGAGCACGTTGAATAATGATTTAAGTTACGTAAGCCCACCCTTCTATGAGAAGCAAATGATACTGGTACAGTACTCGAGTATAGTAAATTAAAGCGATGTCGGTATCACGGGTACAGTGGCGTACTCTGTCCCACGAGCTGAGTGGGGGGATTCAAAGCTCTCGGCACACTGCGGACCGGTACACAATATACCCTTAAAATACAGATGTACCGCTTTGAATGTCGCTGATAAACTGCTATGAGGACTGGTATATTAGCTTGCTTGTTCTTGCATGGTAAGCATTGCTAGTGTGACAGATTAAGTAAAGTAAAGCGTGAGTTAGTTTAGAAGGGGATGGATGGATGGGATGGCCGTACCTCTGTACGAGTACCGGTATGCTGCATCCCTCCTCCCGAGGAGGTTTGCGGTGTATATACCGAAATACACCTACAGACTACCGAAACACCTGCACCGTCCGTGTACCGAGAGCTTTGAATCTCCCTAACGGGGAGCGTTCCCATACGGTACTGGTACGGCAAGTTACCGTGGCTAAACCGTGTGGTATCTAGTTATTTATACAAGTAATACCAGCTGGTGAGGGGGATATTGAACAGACATTTGTCAAGCGTATCAGAAGTTATTGTATCGGCGATATGGATCGTGCAAGCACTTGCTCCTATTTACCGCAACCAAAGATTTTCCAAAAGCCGCCGCCCCCTCTCTTCTCTGACCCGTAGGGCCGCCTACCGGTATAGTAATACACTACGATCGCACCCGAGTGGTACATCGTACAATAAATCGAATTGCTCGAGTATGATACGGTACTCTATCAGCCTTGAGGCTGAAAGTGCACACGAAGCGAAATTCATGCTCGACGCAGAAGGGAAGGTGGTTATCTGCATCATGATACCGCATCTATCGTGGGAAATATACCTTGGTCCACCAGCTCCTACGGCTCTCGGGTGCGGTAATTTAGTGCCTGTGGGACAAAACACGCCGGATAAATTTGAGATGATTTTGTTACTCGTCCTCCAGCGCCCGTATCTGCTCTTGTACGAGTCTGAGACGGAAAAGAACCAGGCAGAAATATTTTAAAATGACCGAAGTGATCGAAACGAGCCAGATCTGATTCCAGCAGTCCCATACAAGTAGCATCCAGAAATGATTATCCGGGGTTCAATGCTCTGGAATTCGAGATGGTTGTTTATCCATGGAACTTGATTGGTTACATGTCTTGCCCTAAACCACATCAAAATAGTATGCGGCAACACTTCCCCTGCGCCCCATGTCCCGAAGGCGTTGGGGGCAATTTTTTTCTTTTTTTGCAATTTTTTGGTATTTTCTCGCATACCGGTTTACGAGTACGAGTACTGGTAGGTAGCTCTCCTACCATTAGACCCATTCCTTCCTCTCCTTTCTCCCACCATCGACCTGAGCGCAATCACCACCACCTTTCGCCCCACTACTCCTTTAAGGCCTTCTTGCTCTAAATTACGCCCCGACTCCCGTCCCACCGTTCAGAGGACGCAAAGGAAGAATTGTTGGATCTGATCCCCTTTTACTCTTCGAGCCGTTCTGTCGCTTTGGGGACAGCACTTAACCGTACAAGACCAATCCCGCTAGATTCCCTCCATCTCTCGCACGATGTCCGCCGAATATACCTTTGTCGATGTCAAGGAACATCAATCGAAGAAGGTTGGGGGTTTTTTTTTTCGCCTTCCCATCTCCCTGATTTTGCTCATTCTCAGAATCCGTACCCGTGGTTGGATTAGTTCACGTGGCCCTACTGACTCTTTTCCTCGACAGGATCTCTGGCTTGTTGTCCATGATATGGTCTACTCTTGTGGAGATTTCGTTGACGAGCACCCGTATGTGCCCAGCTATGCATCTCTCCCGTTCTAGCTAACCACCAAATTACCGACGTAGGGGCGGAGAAGAAGTCCTGATGGATGTGGCCGGACAGGATGCGACTCTAGCCTTCGAGGTCCTCCCTTTGGTTATCCTTCCATATGCCTACAATATATTTACTCGAGGCTTGTGAGTTAGGATGTCGGACATTCGGACGAAGCCCGAGAAATTCTCAACGGATTGTTGGTTGGCACACTCAAGAGAACCGTATGCTTACTAAGCCTTCTGTTATGCCCCGGCAATTGCGGGAGCCGTTGGTTTTAATTGACATTTCACCCCGTCCAGGGATCCGACCCGAAGCCTCCTGTTACCTCTCCAAGTTCCACCTCCCAGACCCAGAGCAATGATGCTGGAACGTGAGTTACTCCAAACCGTTCTTTATTTTATTTCACCATTTTTTTTTGGGGGGGGGGGAGGGTGGGAGTACTCGGGGCTCCCCGCTATACGAGTCTCCTACAAATATACTGCTCTTCTGTAAAATTGCTGACGGAAATCGTGGGTACAGTACGCTTTACGCCTTCTTCTTGGCAGCTGCCCTTGTTGCGTTTGGGGCATACAAGATGTACGCTTAAGTAGTCTATCGTAGTTTAGAATGGTACAGAAATGGTAGAAAACGGCTGGGAGTTATAATCTGGTCTCTGTTTTTTCTTTTGATTTATGCCCGGTGTTTTCCGGGTTAATGAAAGTTGGGGGGGGAGTGTCCTTAAGCTTCAGAAGCAATCATGGCAGTAGATTCAAAAAAATTTCACACGCGGTCGGGTTCGTGCTATGTTCCCAATTGGAGCGCTGTTATATTTCTTGGTGAAGCACGATTTTTATGCCCAGTGGGGGCCTGCTTGTCAAGAGGATGTATTACCTCCGCAATGGGCGCGCGGTATTCAGGTTGGATTAAATGGTAAGTTAGCTTCGGTTCAATGAGATCCGAGGGCGGAAGGAGAGGCAAGCCCACAGCGGAATGTATTAAGCAAAAAGCACGGTACGCGATGCCGCACTGGCTGGCACCAACGCTTGCCGTGGGCCAGGCCGGCCCGTGGGCTTTAATTAGTTTGTAAATTTGTGCCCTAAGGTGAAAACAACAACAGTGAATATTAGCAGTTGCTGAAAAGTAAGGGTTTGTATCAAGGTACTACAAGAATGTATTGTATCTGCATAGAGAAAATTTGAAATCAATTTTATTTTCTGGGTAACTAGTTTTCTCTTAGATTGTGAACTTATTTTTTTTTATTACTACTTGGTACTAAATATCATCAATTTCACAATACCTAACAAGGCAGTATTCTGCCACTGTTCTTCTCGTTCACCAAAACAATCTATGAATAATTATACAAATCCTACTCCTGTGGAGCCAGGTGACTTCTATTCATCGCAAGTACCACCGTCTTCTCCTCCTGCTAGAAGCTCTCAAAGTATAGGGACTTCATCTGAGGCATTACCTTCAGATCCCAGACTACTGGTTTCTGAACTGCATGATGAGATCAACCATAGTAATGTTTCTGCAAATGCTGGCTTCTTTCTTGAAGGTAGATTCTCTTCTATTTATAAATTATATATGTATTTTGATAATAATTTAAAACTGAGATTATAGGTAGCCAATCTGTAAACTTACATGTTGATCCAAGTATGCATAACTCTCATAGCAGTAGTCTAATTGCTGCTAGGTAAAATGGACTTGACTTTCTACAAGCAAAGCCAAAAGTTTGTAAAAGTCATATTTATGAAAAAGCCAACGGTAAAACAATTATGGTTAAAGGAAAACTAAGATGGCAGTCTAATTGATATACTGATCGCATAGCTCCAAGAATGTTTGCAGCTTCCTCTACAAGAAATACCATTGATCATCTTTGTCACTGTCATCAAATTAGGCCAAAAAGTCAAGTAGTTTCTGGGCCAACAGCTGCACAACTCTCTATCCAATCTGCCTTTGGGAATATTGCTCCCATGATAGAATTTAATACTGATATATTTTATAGTATGCTAATTCACTGGATTATAACTGTTAGTATTCCATTCTCAGTATGCAATCATCCAGAATTTCATACACTGTTAGCCTATATTGGTACTTGTCAGCCTGATCTTAAGGCAATAATGAAGGTAATTCCTCAATCTGACCATACCCTATGATGGTGGTTAGATGAATTCCATGGTGTAATATTCAATACTTTAAAGCAATCACTACAAACTGCTCTTTGCCGAATTCATTTCAGCTTTGATCTCTGGAGTGGTCCAAATATGCGTGCCTATATGGCAATAGTGGCCCACTGGATTGACCCAAATTTCAAGCTTCATATAGTCCTTTTAGACTTACATTGCTTTGTTGGTGCTCATACTGGTAAGAATCAAGCAGCATACTTGTGGACAACAGTCTAAAGATATCGAATTGAATATAAGATTAGTAAGTTTAATATTGATAATGCCAGAAATAATGATACAGCATTACAGGAAATTGCACAGATGATGGAGTTACATAATACTCCTTCTATCCATCCAGTTCATGACCACCTTTACTGGTTTGGCCATACAATAAACCTTGTGGTTAAAGGATTTCTCTGGGGTAGAGTATTTTGAGGTACAATGGGATAAACATCCTGATGCTATTAATCTAGCAAAAAGCATCTTAAATAATATATGGGTACACCCACTGGTCAGAAGTGTTCGTGATTCTGTATTAGTAAGCTGCCTTGCCAAAATCCCACAACAACATCAGCAAAGAAATCGCTTGTGTCTGACGCCTGGGCGCTGCGTCCTGATACGCCTGTGCTTTCTTTCCCGTCCTGTGCGTCCTGTGCGTCCGGGGATCGAGCTCGACACCCAGCCGCATCCTGGGCGTCCAGATTCCTGACGCGACACCCTGCCCCATCCTGGGCGTCCAGATCTCCGCCTCAACTCCACCCCTGATCTCGTGCGATAGGAGTCCTGTCGGCATGCCCTGGTGCCTCCGGTCGCACCCGCCCCCCCCTCCGTCCATCCTGACTGCATCTTAAGCGATCTCCCAGTTTCGATTGCTATCCGGACGTCTTGCGCTGCTGCACCTTTTCTAGTTTCTACGCCCTGCCTCTCGGCTCTCATCCTCTCATATCTAGTCTAGTCTAGTGCGTTCTCTGCAGGCACAGCGCTCTAGTCTCACGCCGGCATGTCTGGATCCTAATTCCTGGGTTCCCGACATCTGGACTCCGTCCTGCTCCCAGCCTTCCTGTCTCTCGTTCTCTCCCAGAAGCCGGTTTCAATTGTGTTTCCACCGCCATCGTGATGCGTCACCGGCAGGAAGGCAGAGTGGAGGAACCCGCGGCCCGGCAGGCTTCCGCACTTTTACTTTCTAAGTTAACCCTTTCCTTCCGCAGCGCAGTCTTAATCTCTACTACTATTACTTTCAATTATGCCCCTCTGGCTTTTATTATTCTCAAGTTCTGCTACCTGTTTATAGAAATGCACTGTTTTGGAGTCTGGGCTAGGCTGACCTGCTGGCGTCGTCTTAGTCTGGACTTCCAGTTATGTTACTCACCCACCAGGCGCGAGGGCCTGGCGCACGATTCAGATTATCCTGGTCCCTTGATCTCCTGCCCTTGCGAGGTGGTGACTTGGATATCTCGGATTGGCTCCGTCAGCAATCCTCAGTCTGCGCCGCGCTTCACAAAATCCCGATTCTTGCACAACTACTCAATAAATCTTATTGAACGTCCTTAAGTCAATTCGACTATTGACAAGCCATTGCCGGTCAGACTCCGGAATCAGGTGCGCCAGCCCTATGATCGTCCCGATGTACACTATGGTAAAACTTCGCGCATCTGGCCTTAGCTGTATGGTGACAAGCTCGTGAAACTTGGATGGGTGCCCTGCGTTAAGGACGCTCAGCATCTGAACACCGGCTAGCCGGTACACCCTCTCGGTGTGCCTGTGGTCGCGGATTTTGAAGAGCGGGATTATTTTCCCTGGGAGACGCCCATGTAGCGCGCCATACATTGGCTCCCCCACTGCTTGTACCCAAACCCAATCATTGCAACTCGCCTGGTTCCGGAAGAGTTCGGTGCCGGTAGATTGTGCCCGGTGGATGTCGTAAACGTCCGTTTCCTAAAAGGCCAGGACAGGTATTTCAAGTTGCTTTCGTAGCTCAAAGAGGAGTAGTTTAAGTTCAGCTGGATCTTTGGGAAGCCGGCATTCTGTGGTCAGACTTTGGTGGCTGTATCGAATCAGTTCATGACACATGCTATCGCATGAGATGCCTAAGACTGGGCAAAAATCATCCAGGCTTGCAACATGCCCGCGATGTCCCTTGAGAATCCTAGGGCGTGTGGCGTGCCCCGAATTAAGACCCGCCGTGTCCAAAAGTTCAACTACCTTGGCTGAGATGTGTGCTCCGTGCCTTCGAAGGGAATCCAGGTTCAGGAGTCTCATTCGGATCGCATGGTGGCGGCCGTAGCTGTGTAGGATCTGCTGTATGGCATCATTCTTATTTGAACGTCGCCATCTATCTTTAATTTGTTCTTTATGCGCCAGCTCACCAAACTCAGTAGAATACATCGGAATGTTGCCAAACTGGTATATGTGTTCCCGGAAGTGGCCCAATAGATGCATCTTGATAAAGTTGAAATGTGATTCTGTATGGATCAGATCCATAAGCTGGTCGTTCTCCACGCCGCGCTCCTCGTCCTGGATCTGATGACGTCTACCTTTCATATATGGTTGAGTAATCTGCACTCTGTGATTTCGCAGTTCCCTTCGCTGGTTCTGAACTTTTGCATGTGTCCATTTAGAAACCCGGAATTCAAGGAAGACATCCTTCATCGAGTGAAACCGATTGAGATATTGTTCCATGTAGTCTATAGTCTCAGGTGTATGGCTTCAGTATTGTGCCATCAGACCGAAATCAAGCAACAAGCTGACGCAGGCCAGGGCGCGTTTGAAAGGCTGCATTTGCGCAGCGTCCGGCTTTCTCAACGCAAGCACCAGAAGAGCCAAAAGACAATGCCCCAAGTTCCTCATCTTCTTTCCCTGCCACTGAGTAACCCCACGATAAGCCTTTTTTAGGACAAAGAAGCCTGGGTATGGTGGTAAAGATTTCCAGGCATCGTCAAATGCTTGCACTCTGTCGTGTTTCTTGAGAAACCCTTGCACCCACTCCATCATATGCTTGAATAGTCCAAGATAGACTGTATGTAGCAAATCAGGCTGGTGCAGGTTGGGCGCCGAAACATGTTGAATCCCGTGAAAGACATTCTGCCCAATCTTGATACCAAGAGCATCAAAGGTAATGTTGACATCCTCAGACCGCGGGCGCGCCCCTAGATCTCGACTCTCCTGTTCAAGACAGTCGTATGTCGCATAGTCTCTCGCAGAGTACTGTTTCTGGAAGTAAGACCCCAACA